GGGTGGCGGTGGCTTCGCGCTGAAGCGACCCTTCATCCAGAACTGATGACGCGCCCTGGTCGTTGGTTCCCGTCCGCAACGCGAGGCGCGGTGTCCGTGCGCTTCCGTGAAGGGGCAATGCAAAAGTTGATTACGCAGGGCTTCGTTTTTCCGGAGGCATCGAGCAGAGGGGGCGTGGGGCTGCCCCACGCTGCACCCCACGGGGCGCGCTCGGCACAGGTTACCGCGCCGTGTCCCTCCGCAACGTTACCCGCGTTGTCGTGGGTTTGGTTTTCACGACCAGGAGTCGGAAGAATAGTAAAATAGGGTAAGGTAGTAAAATAGGGGCAAGAGTGCGCGTGTTTGTTTACCAGTCGCGGCTAAGAATGAGAAATTTAAGCACGCACCCATCTGTTTTGCCTAGAGCTACAGCTTTATGACAGCACCCTGACCTCTCCTGGTAGGCGCTGCCAGTAAATCACTCAGCAGCAGTCAGGCTCCTGCATTACTGGTGTGAGAAGGCATAAAACCTTAAAAGAGAGAAGATCCACGACTTGGGTGGACAAAGGAACTCATTGTCCTGACAGGACTAAGGCTTCTGCTTGGGGCTTTAGTTCTGGGTTATTTTGTTCTTAAACCTCTAGTTCAGGTTTGATTTTTATGCTGATCTTTCGAATTAGGTATTTAAGAGTCTTTCACAGCCTAAAATATCAATTACGTAATTTTGTTATTGTTATTTTATTGCTATTGCTGTTGAATATATGCAAGGGATAAGAAGAATGCTTTGTGTGTAGTATGGGCAAGACAGGAGTTATTGCAGAAATTTGATATGATTTTAATTCATGTTCAGCTACGCAGTGCTGCTTAAAAGAGTCAGTCTCATTCATCCTTAAACAATTAATCTTTCTGAAAAATAGACGGACCTGAAGAAACCTAGTCAGGGAAATTTGTCTTTATACCTCTGTGAAGAATATGCTACGTATTTATCTGCAGCCTTAAGTACTTTCTCTAGTTTGACTGACTTGAATGAAGCTGTAGGTATTGCCTTATTCCATTGGATTCAGGAAATGTTCTGCTTGTTTGTTGGATCAATTTATAGGACACTAGTTGGGTTTATGCAGTCTATTGTTTGACGACCTAATGCCGTATTTGTTACATATGTTGTTTTGATTTCTCTCCAGGCAGACAAATTGCTGAAAGCACTGAAGCAACACTTTCATGGAACAAAACAAGAAAATGAAAATACGGTAATAGATGATAAATCAGCCATTCTTTTTTTAACAGAGATACATCTAACTTTGTAACTAGTAGAGCACGGAATGTGCTGAAGGTGGTTTTTTACCATGATGTGAACTGTAATAAAAATACTTTTTTCTTAATAGTGCACTTAGTTTAATGCACTCATGTATTGATAGAAACAGATGTGTTTAATATTAGCTTTGAAGTGGCTTCCTATATGACCCAAAGCTGATATCCTTTCAGCTGCCAAAACTAACAATGTATTTTTCAGCATCAGTACAAAATTACTCTATGAACATTAACATTTGTTCAATGGAAATTAAATCTTAATTCTTGCCTATTTAGCTCCAGACACTAGTCAGTACCAAATATAAAAATATTTTATTCATTTTGCATGCCTTGATGAAAGGGACTAGATACTCATTGGAAAGCATTTTGCATCTACTACAATTTACTTACACGGACCCTATAAAGAAAGTGATACAATTGTGATGTTTCCTTTATTCATCTCTTGTATTGTTGTCTTAACTGTTGGGGTTTTTTTTATTTAAGTTTTCTCTTTGGTAAGCTGAATTATTTTGTTGGGTATGGTGATGGTTTTGACGTTTTTGATAGAAAGTAAATTGGTGTCTGCTTTTTCTAAAATATATCTCCTTTTTAAGTGCTTCCTTTAAAATCTTCTTGAAAGGTTTGAGGAACTGGTGTAATCCTTGTCAGCTTATTTAATTTTAACAAGTGTGGAAGAGGCTCTGATTTTTTGGGGAAGACTATTCCACAGAAATGTACAAATCTGGGAGGGTCACAGCATCATGCAAGTTGGGCTTCAAATACAATGTATTCGTTTTTTATAGTCTTATTAAAATGCTATATAATAAAACAACTGTAGGGCTTCTTTTTAAAGTCCTCAAACAATGAGCTTTAATGTTTAGGGAAATCCAGATATTGCCAATTTCTTGATTACTATGCTACTGTTTTTCCTCTGTGTGAAATAATTTTTCCAATAATAAAATTGAAACTGAGTATCTAATTTATGTTTGTGTCAAATATGTTCCACATCATAGTATTTTTCTGCTACAGGACTCTGGAAAAAGTGCATCTGCTTCCATCAGATCAGATGAACCGAGCAATCAGGAGGAAATTATGCCTGATTCAGTGTGTTTTATTACAAAAAGGCGTGGTAAAGAAAAGAAAATAACCAGAAAAAAGAGGAACTCCAATGAGGAAACTAATACCGGTGAAGAAAATACAGGGCTTTCTGATGAGAAAGAGGTGATTTGCATTGCTTGGTTTTATATGTTGGCTGTCCTCCCCCTGCCCCTTTCCTCAACCATAATTTAAACACACCTGATTTTTTTTCTACTATCATTTAGCAGGTGGTATACATTTTCTGTGTGTGTATATATGTATATAAGTATATCATAGAATGGTTTGGGTTGGAAGGGTCCTTAAAAATCATCTAGTTCCAACACCCTCCACTAGACTACGTTGCCGTGGTCTATATGTATATAAGAATTCTGTATGTAAACATTCTGGTACTGGTCTTCTGTACTTTGTGGCATTGATTTTTGTCTACCTTGACTATGTGCTATTCCATAATGAACAGAGATTATTTGTTAGTCATTACTTCAAGGAAATAAACTAAATTCCTCTAAGAAATATACAACTCCAAACACTTTATCTGAACGTAAGACTGCTTTCATTACTTCATCATAGTATTCTGGATATTAGAGTAGTTTCAGAATTTATCTAGTTTCAGAATTTATCTAAAATAAGGCTGTTTTCACTTTCTTTATGTAGAAAAAAAATAACAGAAATTGGATGATTGCCTAAACATCAATTTTTTTTTTTAATTCCCACTTCTCTAAGTGGGTTCTTTATTCAAGGGTAGTATGACTAAGGGAAGTTTCAAGGTGAGATGGAAGTAGAATTTTTTTTCCTCTAGAATTACATGCAAGTAGTGAGTGAACTAAGAACTGCGTGAAAGACTTTTACCGATTTAGAGGAGGGAAATAAAAGATGAGCGTTAGCCTGTTAGTGTCAGAGAGTGATACAGTAACCAAAGCTACAATAGTAAAAAGTAACACAGCCAGTGAATTTATTTTTACTTGTAAATAATTAACTTTTGTCAACAAAGGCAATTTTATACTAACAGGATAAGCATTTCACGGATTAATTCAGGTTAGACTTGAGAAAATATCTTGCTCAATCTCCCATCAAAGCAGGGTCAACTATGAGGTTAGACGGCAATGGTTAATGCTTTAGCTAATCTGATATTGAAAACCTGTAAGGACGGAGGCTGGGCAACCTCCTCCACTGACTGTTCTCAGAACAACAGCCGTTCTTTGCATCCAGTTGGAACAAACTGTATAAATGAAGTATGTTTAAACTACAGGAGCATTCCGAAATGAAAGAAAACAAAGTGCCTCGGGGCGAGCATGAAAAGGGACAGAAGGTATTCCAAAATGAGGAACAAATAACTAAAAAGAGAGCCACTGAGAATCCAGGGATGGGTACTGGTCAGAAAGAACAACCAGAGAAGACTTCTGCTAAAAGTAGTGGAGGTAAATGTAAGTAGAAAATTCCAAAAAAGTAAATTTAGTAATTTGTACTACTTAAAATGCACCTTTTGGTTGTTTTATTGTATCTGCAAACATTTTTGTGGCATGTCTGGTGATCAGTGCCTTATCTGGGGATACCGGGGAAAAAAAAAATCAAAAATCTGTCTCATCTGAGTTTGTGTACTTGTCTGTTTAACATATTGTAACACAAATTCTGCAGTGTAGGAATTCTGCTGGCTTTGACTTCAGAACTCTGGACCTGATGTTGTTAGTGAAGGGGTTCTCAAAGGTCTGAGTGTATTTGAGTCTTGCACCTCCATCAGGATCAGTGCCTTTTGGAATACCCCTGAGATGTTCCTCAGTTCCTTTAAAAAGCAGCAAGAAAGGGAGAGCTTCCTTCCTCATGCTTCATTTTTCTTTTCCTACAGATGAACAGGTTTTGTCATTTTCTTCCCAGGAGTAAAATTAGTAGAAAAGGACCTACAGACAGAATCCTTTATAACTTGTTTAAACTGCCTAACAATATCCAAATGTATTACAATGGATCATTTTTCTATCTGGTGGCTTTTTTAGATCTTCAAACACAATGCCGCTGAAAATATTAATTAATTTCTGCCCCACTCCTTTGTGCATGCAGCCGACATGAAGAAACATGTTTGCCCAATCTGATAATTTATTGATATTGTGGGTCTATCAAACAAGACACATACCATTATTAGCTCCTGTTAGACTAAGTGTATGTAGTTCTTGAGCTGTATTATGGATATTCTTGCTATTCTGTAGAATTTACAAAGACATTCTTATTGGAGGCCATCTATAATTTTGAAAATAATTTAGAAAATGAGGATTTTCAATGAAGGTTCTTTTAAAACCAGAAGCAATAGAATATATAGAGGATGCTTTGGCTGAGGCAGTATTCATCCTGACAGTTGGCACAGTACTTATCTCTTCCTATAACTGTAATTATAAGTATCTGTACTGTTCTCTGTTGTTTTTTTGTTTCGTTTTTTCTTTTCAGCAATTTCAGATGGCAAGAGCTGTGTGACAGAAAAATACCATATCTGCATTTAGTGTTGAAAAGTTGATTTTTTTTTTTTAACAATTATTTTCAATAACCCCTCATTATTTGCTTCCAGTGAGGATCTCTTTTGATATATTGAGGTCATCCAAGTTTACTTTAAAGGGAATGTGAATGAATAGAAAAGCAAATGTTTGCTTTTGATATGCAAATATTGAATTCCAGTCTTTACGTGATTTTTTTTTTATTTATTAATAAAATAAAATCAATCACTAAAATGTGAACAGGAGCTTAATATTATACCTGAGAATGGAGATGATATAAAGAACTTGGACTCTGTATACGTATATAAGGCAGTGGCAGAAAAGCTGGCCAAAAGGTATTTCTTCTTTGTTAACAACATTTAAAAGCTACTAGCTTATTAAACAGACCAAGACCTGTGAATCGAAAGCTGGTTTTGCTTACCACAAGCGTAGTTCTTGTTAACTTACTCTGTAAAATACTTTACTATCGAAAGATAATAAACTGGTATGACTGTAAGATTCGTGTTGGACTTGTAGTTTGTCAAGACATACTCTTACTGACACATCATTTAAATGGCTTTTGAGAGACTTAGGACATACCTATTCCAGCTGATGTTTTTATTGATCAACACTTAAACCCACTTTGAGGAGATTAATAGTATTTGTTCCAAAACACTCCTTAAAAGTTTGTGATGACATTAAAATATTTTCCAGGAGTTGTAACAATTTTGTCTAATCTTGCTGTACCAGGTGATGCTCATCATGCAGGAGGGAAGATCCCTTTATATGTAGGCCGTGCATCTAGGTCTGGGAAAACAGGAATGAAAGCTACTACACCAAGTAAGAAAACCTACCATCTTTAGAAATAGATCTGTTGTCTGTGTGTGAAGGGAGACTTGACTTACAGTTTTTTACAACTTAAATTCCTATTTCTGCTTTAAGTGTCCCTTCTAACCCAAAGCTTTCTATGATTCTGTAATTCTCCAGAGCATGCACCAGGGTCACTGCCTGTGTAGCTGGTGAAGTAGATTCTACTTCATACTGTTAGGTTACCTGTGTGTACAGAGTCTTTAATTAGAGGGATATGTTAGATTTTCTTTGAGGCCGTAACGACAGGTGTTGCAAGGTTCTCTAAGTAAGTAGTAAACTTCCTTAGGAGCTTATCAGATACGTGACTCTTCTCATTTTTGAAACTTCTTAGACTTTAAAAAGTTGCATGAGGCTCACTTCAAGAAAATGGAATCTATTGCTGACTACATTGAGAGGAAAAAAAAAATGATTGAAAACTGCAGCAGTTCTCTCAATGAAGTCAAGGTAAGTGATAACACAGGATGATAACTGTTGCTCCTGTATTCATTTATTTTCCAAGCCTCTGTGTAAAAGTCCTGTAGTCTCTTTAGAGCAGTAAGTAGGTGGTCGTGTGTGTCTGTGCAGTGGAATGTCATGATCTGTGAAATTTAACTGCAGTCCTAAATAATTAATTATATAGAGTTATTTGTATATAACTTGTATAGTTATATAAATATTCATATATTAACAGTGTATGGTTATACTTAGAGGAACCAACAAATAACTTGTCAGTTTTGAGTAAAAACAATTATGTCACAATTACTTTTGTGAAGGATCTCCTGGAGGTTTTGCTTACAACTGTTTGAATTGCTGCAGAACTTAGCCAAGGGGATGGGTTATTTTTCAAAGAGCAGGGATTAAATATTAAGTTCCTCTTTTGTGCCTTAAAGAACCATCGTCAAATGACTGCATATGATTCTCCTTTAAAGTATGTGCAATATATGTTGTTCTCAGTTCTTATATTTCACGCTTGCATGGGTGAAAGCTGCTAATGGGGCCTCTTTCAGAGTGCAGCGGACCTTAGAAAAGTGACATTAGTGTATCAAGGAATATAGGAATTAATATGTCAATGGACATATCAAAGCAGTAACACCTGAAACTCTTGAACACTACTGTTCTCTCCTCTATGGCATAGAGTGTATCAATGTATACTTAAGACAAATTACTTTTGGCAGGTGCTGGCCAAAAAATCCAATCACTTAAGAGCATCAGAAAAAGGCACTCCACATAACAACTCTAAGGTATGTATTTTTCAGATCAGTTTAATAATAATAAAGCTGCTGAAGAGATTGTATGTTTCTGATTCACTGTGTATTTTTCCCTTCCTCTTGGCTGCTTTTCTGATAATTTTTTAGCAGTGTGTGCTAACTCATTATTTGCTTTTCCCTAGAAACAAACCAGTGGCAACACATTTTTATTCAGCCCAAATCCAGAAAGAGGCAGATTCTCTGCCACCTGCACTCCTAGTAATCTCCGGCGCTCACCACGCAGTTCTCTGAACGCTGCCAATCGGAGTATTTTATCAAGGAAATCTTCGTTTAATCCTTCTGTCCTTTCAACCACCAAAATGAATGTCAGGTAAAAAGAACAAACCAAAACTACCAGTGAACTATTTGCTATGATACACACAAAATAATCAACGTTGACTATGATTTGACTGCATTACTTCTAGTCCAGACATGAGACTAATTCTGATTACTGGCTTTCAGCCTAGCTTTATGGCTGTTTTAAGCCTTACTGTGCTGTTACCTTCTTGATTCTACATTTTGATGTCTGATGGTAGAGGAATCTTGCATTTCTTTCAGCTTTCATTGTGTTCATTTGCCAAATAATTTTTCATCTCTTGCTGTGTTAAGTTTTCCATTTTGTCAGGCAACTTAATAGTGTTCGTCATATCTGAATTAATTTACCTTTGAGATTACTTAACCAGAACTGTATCCAGTATTCCAGGTGAGTCTTGCGATGGACTTAATCATTTGGGGGCAGCAGGGGCTCATCTTGTAATTGACCACCATAAGCAGATTGTTTCTAGGAGATGGGAACCAAGTTGACCCTAGAAAGTCATGAGGAATTGCTAAATGAATGAGCTCATACTGAATGCTATTAAATCTCATCTCATTTCCTTTTAAAACAACATGCACCCTTCAGTATTCCTACACAGTAATCTAATTATTAGGTTAATATTTCATGAACTTTTGTTATTGGTGAATTTTATTAGCTTATTACTAATTTTTCTAAAGTCTTGAACAAAAAACCTTTTAAAAGAAGGAATCAAAAGGACAGTCCCTATGGTACTCCATTCATAAATGCCCTTTCTCCCAGTTTTCTTTTCAGTGAAAGTCCTTGTCTCTACTATTTCTTTGTTGGTGTCTAGCTATTGTACTAATCCCAACTTTTTACTAAACTTTCCATGGTGCAGGAAGTTCAGATTTAGACATTCTATAATTTACCTGTATCCTTCTCCCCTGTTAACAATACTCAGTTAATCTTGGGTCTCCATTGTGTTACTTCCCATTTTTCTGATAACCTTCACTTCTCAATTTTTGTATGCCAAGATTATAGCTGCTGGGATTTTTTCACCCCTGAATAAAGTGGGGAGGGGGATTGTTATTATTAAGTCAGATAGTGTGACTTCTAATACTGACATCTCCTAATAAATAATTTTGGGACTTCTGAATGCAGTTCTTTTGCTGTTCAAAGGCCAAGAGTACGAGTTCCTTGTAAAATTAAGCTCATAATCCTACTGGCTTTGTTTCTACTTTGAATCTGCTATCTTTGATTTCCATAGATGATGATAATTGAAAACAACATTCATGCTGCCTCTAGTGTCCTGTTGTATGATCTTTATTGTCTTCAATGCAGCCCTACTTGATTCATAGCAATACATAAACCAAAACAACATTTCTAGAATTTGCTTTTATTCCATTTGTCCAAAGATGTGCTGAGGTGGATCTTGGAGGCTGCACTTCATCCATAAACTTGCTAGCTATCAAAACATAGCTTTCTTCAACATTTACTGCTTCTCTTTCCGTATCTTGCAGGCTTTCAGCTTATTCTCAGTACCTTTTTGATAAGGGTATTACTTTATGCAAGATTTTTAATTTTCTTTCATGGGTTTATATATATCTGTATACACACACATATACATTAAGAATGTGTGTGTATACTCACATACATTTGGTACGTGTGTGTCTTGGTATTCAGGTAACTTGCGTGTTTTGACAAAAATTTTCAGCTGCTTCCTCTTGTAGATCTTTGAGTTCTAGAGTCCTGTTAGTTAATTTTGTTTCAGTTTTTCCTAATTTGGATTTTAAAATTAAAAATATTTGATGTTTTACTACACAATCCAAATCTAGAGTAAATCATATCTGTTGGTGAAGAAATGTACTACCTTATTGCATCCAAATATATTTGCTCTCCAAAATAACAAGAAAGTCAGTTCTTTGTAATTTCTAATATTACTTACTGCTATTGATGATGGCTCGTAATGTGAAAACTGCCAGCAGAGTTTCTGCGTAAGCTGTGAACATCTTATACACAGTAAAACTTTCTACCTGTAAGAAAAGTAGAATGCAGAACTTTCTGTATTATGTCATGTTGCTTACATTCCTTGAAGATGACTTTGTCTTCATATTTCCAATAATTTTCAGGTTCTCGGAAGCCACAAAAGATAATGAGCATAAACGTTCTCTTACCAAGACTCCATCTAGAATGTCTCCATACTTGGAGGAGATCTGCACACCTGATAGTCAAAAGAGCTGCAAACTAATGAGTCAGAAAAACAGCAAAGGAAATGCAAGAAATAATGATCTGACCACATCAAAGGGTAAAGCGGATGGTAAATATTCGGCTCTTTCAGATCAAGACACTTGTCTTATTCAATTTTTTTTTTTTTTTTTTTTTTTTTTTTTACAACCTAATGTCATGTTAGACCCAGGTTTTAATTTAATTCTCTAATTTATGACTGATTCTTTAGAAACTGCAGCAGTTTCCCTGTTTCCTTTGGCTTCAAGTGTTTTGACTAAAATGGTTAGGTCCTAAGACTTAAACATATGTACCTAGCTACCTACAGAAAAGGGGATAGAAAATCTTCTAGACCTTTAGGGACTATGTAGTAAAAGATTCCTGTAACAGGTACAGGGAGATCCTATCTGCAGTAAGAGGAGTTACTGATAGCCTCTCAGAGGTTTCATTCCCCTTGTGGGACTGGCACGCACTGGGCTTCTAGCTGTGTTTTAGGACAACCTGTTATTATCAGCCTCAGCAACCCTGATTAACTCTGGAACTAAAACTCTGTAAGAAATCTTCTGATTACTAAAGATCTCCGCACCGGCACAGCTCTGCTCTCTAACCACTGACAGATACCCTAGCATCGCAGGTACATTAGCACAGGTCAAGAACCCGGAGTTGCCTGTCTTGCTGTATGACGAGTGAGCTGTATTTGTGCAATTCTGTCTCTTGAGGTAGCAGGCAGAATGTTTAATGGCTCTTTGGTCTTGTTTGGTGTAAGGTGGCCTTCACAGCCACTTTCCAACCTGGTAGGTACAGTGATGTTCTTGCTGCTGTAATGAAATATGGTATCTTTTTCAGTTATCACCCCCTTCAAGTTTGCAGCTCATTCTGCAGAACCCACAAGCGCAAAGAAGACGTTTGATCTCAAAGCAAGTCTCTCGAGACCGCTTCGGTATCAGCCACATAAAGGTACTGCGATCCTGTGTTGGGTGTACCCCTTATACTGAACTGCTCGCAAAATAAGGCATTGATACAAACCACGACAACAAAATTTTCAGTCTCTTTTCCTGTCCCTTTCCTTTTCTCCCTGGATTCCCACACAGTCTGTGGACTGATGTTAAATTTCTCCATAACATAACATAGGCTTTAAAAGCCTCCCTACCAAAAAGTAAGGCTTTATGACCAAAGGCCCATAAACATCCTTGTATTCCACTGAATAGATGTATGTACAGGAAATATGAGATATTCCTTCACAATGAGGCTTATTTTTATTTCACTTGTTTAAAAATGCACTGTTGTGTGAGAAGCTGCACTTTGTGTGGTGTTACTTATAAGTACAGTCACCTGTTACTTAAAGAAAAACTACTCGTAGGGAATGGGCTGGTGAAACTGGTAATACATCTGAAGAGGCGTTTCCTCTTAAAGTCAACCAGTAAAAAACAGGCTAGCTAGTATAAATGCACAATAGGAAGTTAAGCACACAATTACTAACCCAGTAATTCAATAGTCTCTCTTTTTGTCCCTGAACTGTAGGACGACTAAAACCTTGGGGAGAATTTAAAGAAAATACTGTCCTAAATAAGTCTGTTGGTAGCAACATCTCTTCACGTAAGAAAGACTACAAACAGCCACATCTCCAGACAAGGTTAGTGTGCCACTAGCTTTTAATGAATAGTCTTATTTAAATAATAGGATGACTTGTTTGTCTTTTTAGGATTTAAATATGCAGTTTAGGAAAGAATACTTTTCTATAAAAGCAAATTTTGCCTCCAATAGTTAGTCTGGTATCAGGAAGCCCAACAAAGAGGGTGGCTCTGAATCTGATAGACTTTTATTTGATGAAAGCTATCAGTTCTAGCGTTTGAAGATTTACTTTCACCTTGGAAGAAGCTGTGAATATTGACATGCTGTTACCTTGAATGTTAGACCTGTACATCTAAGCAGAAGTATTACTTGAAAGATTGGATTCAGTCCAAAAGGAACTGTCCTCTCTGCCCATGGCAAAAGCAGCACAGTGGTTAAGCAGATGTTAAGCCTTGGGCGGCTTCAGATTCCTTTGGTTGCTTGTGTCTCTACCTTTGATATAACTTGGTATGGTCTGTCTCTTCTTTTTCCCCTTCAGGGAAGAAAGGCGTGAGAAACATGAGCAAGACAGGAAAAAGAAAAAAGCCCAGGCTCTCGGAAACCGTAGAGGACTCTCTGTGGATTAGGAGGAATAAGAAATTGCTGTAAATACTGTTCCTGTCATGTAAATATTTGTGCTGTCTGTGTATAGTTCAGGTTGCTATAGCAATCCAGAATCCAGAGAGCATTGAATGAGGCCTTATAATGCAGCTGAGCGTAATCTTTTAGTGATCAACTTCTCCCAGATGAGAGTTCTAAGCTTTTAGGAGCTTAGAACTATCTCTAGTTGCTTAATACTGTTTTCATTTAACTAAAAGGTGTTAAAGAAGAAAATGTAAGTGGAAAAAAGGTGCTCAAGAAGCCTCTGTGCATCTTAGAACAGACTTCTTCACCAGAGGGCATTTGTTACCCGCTAGAACACATGCTTTGGATAGCAAGCCTCAAAATGTTCCACTGGTAAATTACAGAGTTGGAGATGTCTGCATGCCCTGTTCTCTAAATCAATCCTTACATCCTGTAACAACTGTTACAGCAATTATTCAGCATTTCTAATTGCATGCCTTATGAAGTAGGAGGGAACTTCCAAGAGAAGAAAAAAAAATGTGCAAGCTCTCTGGAAAACTAAAAGCTTACAGCATACCGTAACTGTAAAGTACCGTATTTTAAAGAAAAGTTGTAACTGAAAAGTGGCTTTACAAATTCCCAACTGGATGCTTTGAACAGTTAATGTGGCTTTGTTCCTTTCTATGGTAAATAGCAGCTATTAATAAAATTCTTCTGCTTTTCATATCTATGATGCTTAAAAGAGGTTATAGTAGTGTTGAGGCATGTTCAATACCTTAGACTTAAAAGCTGATGTTCTTTTTACTTTTTAAAAAAAACCCAACCCATAGAAAAGCTGTCTGGATTTATTATGAATGGAACTGGAAAGGTAATTTAGCAGTTGTAGTCTCAGCTGAAACCGTGAATAAATTATTGTTTCAGTGAATTTACTGTCCTACCAAATATATGCTGAAATGTCAAGAATAAGCAATTCTTTTATAAACATAATAGGGGGAAAATAAATATTTTGTATATATCTTGTTTATCACTGGTTATATCACCTAGTGTACTATGTAAATCTACCTCCTTAGTGTAGCACTAGTTTTGTTCATGCTTGCATTTACTACTCCATGTATTGCTTTGTAATGAGTTTTCCTTACTGATGACTAGCCAGCCTTCCACTTCATGAAAGTATGTTTGTCCTGATATCTTTAGAAACTATAACCATCACCCCTCTTGCTCTTAAGCTATTTAATTCTGTGCAAGAGGAAAATGATAGTAGAAGACACTGCTTCAGCTTGCTTTATTGTGGCCTCTTCCACACAAACTATAGGTACATTTAATATTTGTAAAGTACACTTCAAGAATGTCAGTACAGAGAAGACAAAGTTTGTGCCAGCTGGAAGGAAACCCTTCACCACTTGTTCTTTAAAGTGTTTCTCAAATTATTGCAAACCAGACTTCTCAGGAAAAGGGAGGTATTGAGCTTCTGTACCACCAGCCACCAACTGAGACTCTTGACAATGCAGCCAGTTAAGCTGGCTGCACACATCAGAAAAGTGCAATCTGATCTGCCCTGTACTGGTGCTGATCGAGCTAAGCTGTGCCTCCTCAGGATGCAGACAGTGATGGGGCTTTCCCCTGCCCTACCCTTGGAGCATTACTTCTGTTCAACAACTCTCTCTCTATAGGGAAAGGAAAAGGCAAGCCCACCACATAGCTCCTGTTTCAGTCTTGGCAGCAGGAGTTTTTTTCTTTTTTTAGTTATTCAGAGGAGCCAAAGCTAAAGGTTGAAATACTTCTGCCTTTTCCACTTCTGCTGCTCTCTGTAAACTTCAGTAGCTGAGTCACACTCAAGCACTGCTCCTCAGGGTACTGATTCTCATCATACTTTTTCCAGTTTAAAACTAGGAGTTGTGAGTGTTTTAAAATTGAATGTAGAAAATGAAATTGTTATACAAAGAATTACAACAAGCTTGTGAAATACTTTTATTTTTGTAAAGGTCAGGACAGAAACCAAAACTTACCTAGTCACCAGTTACTACTTTGTAAGAATGCATCACAGCTCTCCTCAGGCTACGTTCCAGTCCATGTATGAACAGTCTCTCCTGGATTCTGGCAGGAATTCTGGCAGCTTAAAAGATGCCAACAGTGTCACTCTAGTCAGATTACTACAGTCAACACTTCATGCACTTATCTCTTCGATGTTTACATAGAATCTTCAGGTTGTTATAAGCCACATGTTAAGAAGTGTTTTATAAAAATGAAGTAAGCATCTAAAGAATGTCCCAAAGGACACCAGCCCAACTTAGACTTGAGGATTCTTTTCATATGTTTCATAAGCAAATTCTTCTGTGTGAGCTCTATCGTTTAGCAGGCCAATAAAATCAATCTCCAGCTGGAATGGACCATCTACTTTATCTCCAATCGTGAATCCAAGGGTACAAATCTAATTAAAAGATACCTACATTAGAATAGTATTTATGATGTTACCATCAAACACAACTATATCTACCACTTCCATATATATTACAAACAATTCATGGCCATCCACTGTAAACAGTGGTATTTGCTCAAAGTACAGTGTTATTTCTTAAGGCTCAAATGCTTCACTACCACATTTTCAGCAAACCCCAATGGGACATTACTTCACATTGGCCTTTCTACCACTGTGTTGAACCCTTTATTAGAACATGGCCTGAGCCTGAAGCAACACTGCAATTTTTTATCCTTCAGGGCTTGCATCATGCCAGTTTTATCATGATTGGGCACACAAGCACATTTTCATAAAGTCTATTGGAATTCTTTTGTGAGCAGGAAACACAAACACAATGGAAGGGAACTTACTTTCTAGATCATGTTATACACCTGGTGAAAGTATACCAAATCAGGCATTTTAAAAATGCATGAAACTTTGTTACTGAGTTTTACATTAAGGCAAGGATCTTAGCCACTGTTTCCCAATTAGAATAATGTTCTTAAATATAACAACATTCCTTTTCCCTAATGTTCTCCACAATTCCTTTTTAAAAAAAAAATAATTTTTATCCTAGCTAATAAATTCCACAAAAATCGGGGTGGCTCAGCCATGTTTCCTATGAGGCTGTGGTCTGCCTGAAAGCCCTCTCAGCCATTACATGTTACCAGTCACCTTTCAGAGACTCTGGAGCCAGCAGTTCTCAAGCCAGAGGGGTCACTCGCCATTTTATCAAGATTTGTTTAATTGCCTTCCTTAAAATACATTTGTAAAATTACAATTCATATTGTATGCAAGTACATGTTTTTTACTGTGAAATACTAAGCGTAAGATAACAAGGAATGAAAATTAAGTGGAGGATGCTTAGATCAAATATCATTTTGTCCCTGTAACTCCTGGTAAGTATTTTTAAACACCATATACAACTTTATGTTTTCATTTACCATTTTGAATGGCTGTATATTCCAAATTCTGAGAAATTCTTCAGTGTCTGTATTTAAACATAGGCCTTCTACAAAGACTTTCTTCCATGAAGCATATCTTTTTTGTAGTTGATGCACCTTCTTCATATCATTCATACTTGCTTTCTAGCCCACAACTTCTGTTTTAAAATGGATTTTTTTCATGCTGCCAATCACTGAATTGCCCAATTTTCCTATTTTTTTTTTATTTTTTATTAAGGCAATTAGGAACTGAATGCAACATTCCAGGTGACTGACACTGATTCAAGTAATGGGCCTTTTATTTTCTCCTCATATATATTTCTAACATTGTTTGTTTTCTTTGTGGTAGCCACTGGGAATTAAACTGCCCTCAATTACAAACAGGAGGGTCACTGAAATTTAAAAGAAAAAAAGATAGAGAAACAATTTTTTCTAACATGTCTCCTCCCATGAATCAATGAATTAGTTGACCTATTTGTAGAAACAAAGTAAAAAATACTCAACACAATACTTAGAACAGAAAGCCTGAAAAAAACCCAAAAGAGAGCCTATAAATACATCGGTTTACTGCTCACCATCAAGGTCACTGATACAGTATATACTCAAGTAAAATCTCACAATATGATATCCCTTACAGTCTTCTGTAAGGAAGTTTATGATACTTACTTTTATTATTTTGGGCAGTACTTTGCCAACTGGCACTTTAGATTTTAGTCACTTTGATCATTGCTCAAAAAAAATTTTTTTTTTGAAAAGCCAAGAAAGTTGCGAGTTGTTTCTTGGTTTTCTAGATCTCTTAAAAATATTTTTGGAGCTACTTTGAAGTAACTTGACACTGCTGTCACAAAGCAGGATAACTTAAATGCAAAGGCAAGCACACAAGAATAAGTACTTTGTAACAAGAAGAGGCCCATCAAATTCACAAACATTAAAGGATTTGTAAATTATCTATATCATGACAATATAATCTTAAAGGATATTTCAGGCAGATAAAGCCTATAGAAAACTTGCCTTGTCTAACCAGATAGGATGCTGGTCATCCTGGACTCTTCCCCGACTGGAGAGAAAGAATTTGGAGAACGGAATCTGACAAAAAGAAAACCAAACCAGACTTCAGCGTCACCAGTACATAGCATAAAAACGTAACAAATAATACTCTGCTAGCTGGGCAGGTAGAACTGGCACAGAGAAATGGGCCACATTAACCCTTTCATTGGCCACTCGCAGCCAGCTCCAGCCCCTCGCTGCTCTGCAGTGGCTGTTTGTAGCCATCGTGCAGGATTGTTACCCTGTGAGGACACAATGAGAGGCTGCAGCACAGAAGACGGTTGTTTACACCTAGAACACCTCCTTCCAATAACATGTCAGCATAAAAGAGAAATTAATGAAAAGTCTAGTATGCGTGTATATCAACAGCTTGTCTGTACCCAAGCTGTGTATTTCATAGTGCAAACTTCACACTGAGGCAATCAGTACTCCAGTAAAGCAGTTCAGAATAATGCAAAAATGACTTTGCAGTGGGAGCAAGAAAGAGGAGGGTTGGCTGCTGTGGGTGGGAGGAGAACATGCAAGCCAGCAATGACATGCTGATTTTCATCCTCCTGACTCCTCACCTGTGAAACAGTGGGCTGTTCTCTTATGACTGGACAATGGTATTATGAGCACTGAATGCTAATTCAGGGGATGTGCAAACCTCCTTAATGTTGTCATCAACAAATTACAAAAGTTCCCCAAGTTTCATCAGAAAAGAGCTGAAACTCCCACCTCTTACAACTTGTTATTTCATGTCACAGATTCGAAGGCTGTAAATGACAAACCACATCTCTGAGCCTGACTGACTCCAGCAAGTCAGCAGGTGACACAAATTATGTCACAGGGTGCAAATCTTACAGCAGCCTACGTCCATTTGTATTAACAGATAAAATGGTTATCACAGAGAATATTCCTGGCAACACCTGCTAAGCTTCAATCGCTGTATCTATGCTATTACTCCAGTAATAGCTAACAGCAGACGTTTAGGTGAACGCATGGTGGATCAAATCTTTAATACAATTGAGACAACGTGCCCTCCCACAATCCAGTGATGTACAATTTTGGGAACTCCCAAGCCAAAGGCAGGTGCCTGTGGTGTAAGGATACGTAACAGAAATATTGCTCAATGGGCAGCAATAGCAACAAACTGTGGCTGTTGAAAGAATTCCCCTCCCACAGAGCCATGGCCAGGACCCCAAGACACTCTCATTAGTTTGAAAGAAGAGTTAGTTCACCTTTATTTCCTCCCAGTATGGGCCTCCTCGGGTGAACATGAAGTAGTTGTAGAGGTCATCCTTTTGATGGGAGAAGTAAGGGTCTGTATAAATGTTTACCATCCAAGGTCTGCCATCGCCACGGACACGTAAATATAGACTGTTGAAGTTTGACCAGTCATAATACTTCTTCCTAGCAAAAGATCCCTACAAATTATTAAAAAAATAGAGTTATTCCTCCTTAATAAAGGGAAACTTCCATCATGAAGAACAGAGCACTATTGCTTTGATCACTGCCCTCATTATTACATCAAATAATATCTACTGCGATACAGTGAAAACTGGGTTACTCTTTCATCGTACTAGCTGGTAATCTCACTGAATTTCCTTCAGCACTGTATTAGAGCCCACAAATTGCAATAACACCACTCTGAGGACTCACGCGTTAATTATAAACCACAATCTTGTAACTATCAGAAATCAGGCCTCCTTCCTAGGACCAAATTCCCTACCAGGCAAGTACACAAACCCTATAGTGATGGATCAGTAGTTATGTGGTTCATTAATTTTAATGCAGTTCATTAAGTTTAACATTCTGTGGTCAGTACTAGATTATCCAGAGATGATTACAAGAAATTGAAGAAGCAAGATAACTTATCCCTTGTGATAACTTCCCTTACTGAAGACTGACATAAGCACTGGAAGCATTTAATGTTTCCCAACACATTTTGTCATTAATTGTGCCTAATGATGTGGATTGCAAGCGTGTCTAATTCTCAACTGCATTTTTTTCCCAAAGATCTTAAAAGCCCTGGTTTTGTGATTTGCACATAGGCAGATCCAAGAGTCTTTGGAGAGTTACACTGAGGTCACCTGGAGCAATGGAGAGGGGAGGGTGGGGGGGTGGCACTGGGGTCAGGGCTATTCTTGGCCAAAATTGCTTCAACCAAGTCAAAATTATCACCAAAAAGCCAGAAGTTTCCCCTTTACCTTACAGCACTACTACAATTACCTATGAACTGTCCTTCTACCAACTCATAAGTAATAGGATAAGTAGATCATCAATGCATTAATACAAGGGCTGTGGCTGCTTGATTTTATGGTTTTGCCAGTTTTTAGCCTTTTTATTTAAATTTTTGTATTTATGTTTTCACCCTCTGATTTCAAACTGCATTGCAAAGATGGACTGATACACTCCACTACTTCAGAAATAGGAGATCAAAGTTTGAGTCACATTTGCACAAGTCAGTAGCAGTCCGGGGAATTTAACTCAGATGAAATTCAACCTGTTGTTCCATTCCCCTGATCCAGTGTCACCATTTCAATCGGTGTTCATCTGCCTCTCATTTGCCCATTGATTTTGGTTGCTCATATACTCTCCTCTCCTTCTGGCCCAAAAATGTTTTTGTGTACTTGTGCCAAGTCACAAACAATAGAACAGAGCAACAAGTTAAGCATTTTATACACCAAGTCAATATGTTCCTTTGCTTTTAAAGGTACTTAAAAATAAGGAAAAAAAACAAGCAGTATCAGCAATAAGCACATCCATTTGTGGTTCTGTTTTGCTCCATTCTGAGCTATCATAGATTTGTTTCTTGACTTTTCTGATATACAGTAGGAGTCAGACCTTTAAAAAGTACATTTCAAAGCATTACTTTCTGTTCCTGTGAGAAAAAAAGATGAGATCATTCACCTAAACCAATTTTGGTGAACAGGACAAGTTAAAGCCCAGAGAATTTGTCCTTATGACACATTCAATTAACCTCAAGTTTAGAGAGATATCTATTTTAGTCACATAAATTTTGGATATAAAGATTCATAACAGAACCTTTCTTTGCAAGGAGGCTGCAAACAGGGCTGCTTTAATGAGTGGATGCCCTATTGCACAGAAGTAAATGATCAAACATGTATTACTCCTTTTCTTAGAAAAAAAAATCCAAGAAAAAGTTTAAGTTCCTTCCAGGTCAAAGGATACAGCAGCAATTACATCCGGGAAGGAATATCTAAGACTCCTGGAAATTATCAGTTTCAACTGCAGTAAACAACAGTCCACTTGTCACTGGGATTAAACAAAGATGTTCTCTGATTAAATAGCAGAAGCTACGCAAACACGAAGCTGTACTTACCACTGGTGGTTTGGCTCTCATACTACAATATCCACTGTACTTTGTCTCCCCATCACGAGGTACTTCTGTGTTGAGAGTTCCATACAGCAGAGCAGCCTGGTTATTCCTACCCAATTTGAGGTAAACTTCACTTTTCCCTCCAATCTCTACATCAGAGGAAATAACCCATTTATTTAAATCTTCTTGGCTCCGAAACTCCCACAACACCCTTGTCTGTTCCAACAGATACTGATCAAATGGATGGCCTCCAGGTCCTACTAAGTAACCTTTAGTCTCCTTCTTCAGCATGCTTAGCTGAGTCTTTAAGACATCAAAGCCCTTCTTAAAACTGAAATCAGTATTTTGCCAAGATGTTTTTTTCTCAGGCTGTGACCCTGGCCTCCTGTAGCTGCTATACAGCTTTGACGTGGAATTGCTGAGGAGAGGTCCAAGTGACGGGTGCAAAAGTTTGTGCATGCAGCATCTACCACGTAAGTAAGCACTGGTCAGCAACATAGTAGTCAGAGCCATGTTGGTGAAGTTGAAGAATTCACTTCCAGCAAGGCAACCAACAGGTTTGAAATTAATTTAACAACAAAACTAGTATCCAGAGGTATCTTTCTTTAGTTACCGTAGTTTATCTCCACCTTTAATGAAAGAGAAAAGAAAAAAAAAATACATACAGGATGCTTGTAAAACTGTTTAATTTTTAAAAAAGATATTACACTAGAAATGCAAGCCTTGGAAAAACGAATAAAAAATAGCATCAAGTATTACACTTCCTCAGACTTCTAGTTTACTTAATGATTTCCACTCTGTGTGTGTGTTCCCCTGTGATGTGAAATACCCAAGCAAATAAGAAAAAGTAAGCAAAATACTTCAAATAAAACTGAAAATAGAAAAAAAGCAATTCCTGTTCATCCCTTTCACTGTAAGTAAGTTTAGGTATCATAGTAACACCAGCAAAAACAGCCTCAAGAAGAACACTTCTAAAAGATGGCATCTATGTAACTCAAGTTATACACACAAGAAATTTACAAATTCACAACAGGTAGACCCTGCTGCCATATGGACCGGAATGACAATCTCGTCTGACAGTCACAGATGACAAGACTTTTCAGATATGAAGTTCTCCAGCAGCCATACTACGTGCTTCTTCCGCAAGTCATCCAGCCCCTTGCCCCCCAGACACATCTGTGTTAGGATTACAGAGAGGTTTGTGAAGATCAAAGAATTTAATGTGAAAGACTGCAATTCAATAGGGGTTTTTTATAAAGTTTTGGGGAAAAAAAACCCTGAAAATCTTCTCTTTCTTTCTGCCTCACTGCTGGTAGGAAGATCTATGCCACAACGCTATTCTCTAATTCATAAGGGAGAAAGGAAGAACCTTAATGTTCAATGCTTGGTACAGAGGTTATTATTTCCAACTCATAAGGTTAGACAGACTAGTTGCCTGGTTTGGGGTTTTTTTGCCACAGAATAAATTCTAAAATGATGTCAAATCAGTTCATCTTCTCTGAGCTTTTAAGGATGGAGTCAGTCAAAAAAAATTACAGAAGTGCCATATGGGACCATTTAGCTTATTCAATCCCTTTTAAATGTAAAACTAGTCACCCCCCAGCCCCTTTCACCCACAAAATCTTCTGAGCTTGGAAGCCTCACACATTTCTCAGTTACAAATTCCCATGGAGCATCAGTGGGATAGTCCTTTCCTTTTTCATGTTTTCCATGTCTTAAGTGCCTTCCTTCCCTCTTCCTCCCGCAATATGAGCTGACATGCAGAAGCTTGCTTTACCTTCCTGGGAAACTAGTCCGCATCCTTAGACTAACAATCTTATTGTGGTCCGTCACCCAAACACGATACATCTACACAGGCAGTAACATGTCATGTATTAGCCAACATCGCAAAAAGACTTGTGGCGAGCCCCACTCTCTTTTCTATATACTACATACCTTCCCTTACTCGTGGTAAAATTCACTGCTATTATTCTCACACTCCAATTAAGCTGTGCACTGGGGACTAAAATCACATTGAAATAAGTCAGGTTTTTTCTTGTCACAGTCGGCGAGATAGGAGGCAAATTTCTAAAAAAGAAACCCCATGTGCAGGGTGTGCGTGCCCCTCGGGATGGAGGTGAAGCACATCCCACGAAAGCAACGAGAGCCTGCACAGTGACCAGGGCCATTTCTGGGTCCCGCCGGCAAAACTGCCTCAAAGCAAAACATAATAGTGAAGCTGCAGCCCGCAGTCAAGCTGAACCCCGCTCAGCACTCCCTCGTCCTTGTTTCCTCCGAGTACCAAGAAGGAAAAAAATGGTAAATTTTAATAAATTATACTTTTGCCCCATTTTTGCCCTTACGCAACGTTTTACCAGCACGTGGATCTAACGCCAACGCCGATTCACCGCCCAGCAGTTAGACAACCTCGGCCTCCAGCGCCAGTCTCGCCTGCACCTCACCGCACTCCCGCAGCGCGCCGCGGCCTTGGGCGCCGGGCCCGGACTCCGCCCGCTTTCTTCGAGCCCGGAGGGCA